TTTTCTTTCAAAAAAAAATAAAAAAAATTTAAGGATAAGATTAAAGTTAAAATAAAATAAAATAACAATAAAAAAGGAGGAAACAAAATGAAAATATCTGATGATGAGATTTTAAAAAAATTCAAGTAGTGATTTTTTAAGAATTTTTAGGTGAAAAAATTTATCTAAAATGTTGTAAATGTACTAGGGGATTTAGTATAATTTTTGATAAAATTTTTTCATTTTTTTTAATAAATAGAATAAGAAACGATTTTTTAGAATTAAATCATAGGTATTATATTTTATGCATTATAAATGTTGATTTTGATGGTAAATATGAACCACCAAGAATGACATGATTGAGAAATTATAGTAGTGATTCTTAAGAAATCATTAGATGAGAAAATTCTTCTTAATATTGCTAGAATATTAAAATTTTTTTAGATATTTTTCAACATGCAAGATTCTTATATATTTTTTAAATAAACAACTAAAAAATAGGAATATGTTTTTTATAATGACAAAATAAATTAATTTTAAATGCCAAAAATAATCACTTTTATCAAGATTAAAATATAACATATGATTAATTAGTACCGTTTTTAGAATGTGCCTATAAAGGTGTTAATCCTTCCCATACATAACTATACTTTTGAGCTCAAACCGTTATTGCAAATTAAAAAATTATTTTTTTAATAAATTTTAAAATTTATTTTAAAAAATAAATTTTAATAAGTAACTAATCCCACATAATAAAAAAAATTTAATAATGACTCCCTGTGTATTTAAATTTGACTAGCGGCCCAAAATCATTATGAGAATGGCAATTGTTAATAAAAAATTCTTCCAAACAAACAAAATGTGAATCCCATAAAGGCACCCTATTAAATTAAGTTTGAAATTGAAAGGATCCATCAACACCCATTTTTGCTAGAAAAGAATCACTCGCCTTCCTGTAAATATGGACAAAATCCACATTCCAGTGATAGCACAGAGCCAATCTATCTCATAAAATAATCCAATATTTCCATGATCTTGAATCCTTGTTACATACCCAACAAATAGCCACCTTTGGATGATATTCAATAATTAGAGAATTTTTTATTTAACCCATGGCAAAACGTTAATACCTCCCAGGCTGTTTTAATAGCCAATATTCATGCAGTGTTAGAATCTCGTTCCTCAAGTCCTCTTATAGTCGTATATCACCCTTTGTAACATGGTGCCTACACGTTGAGAATTCAACATTGGCAAATTTTGTTCCATCCATTTCCCTTTAATTACAAGAAACCGATTCTTGATAATCCCTGAGCTTTTATTGGAAAAACTCCTATCTCACCTGGCAAGCAGACCTGCGAACTCCCCTAGACTGGACTACACAACCTATCACAATCACTAAATGGTCAAAATTCTTCCAATATGTCGAACACCACACGAAACCAATTTTTTCTTCAAGAAACACCATTTTAGTTATTTTGGGATCTAATTTACCACCTCACTGATTAAGCTTTCATATTATAATAAATGCCTCGAACATCCCAAGACATAATGTTCATTTTGAACGGAGGCACTCAATTTAAAGCATCCACCACAAAACAAAATTTCACAATTGAAATAGAAAAGAACTAGATCCCAACAGACATCAACTCAATATCTCACCATAAAACAAGTTCTCAACAACTTCAAATCACCAGCAAAATAAAGAGCAAAGTCAAAGCAGATGAAGATACTCGACCATTTTATCAGGTCTAAGACCGTAACATTTTCTTCAGTTTTTCAATCACCAGTTCGTCATCTATTATTGATAATCCAAGCTGCTTTCCCACTTTCCAAATTTCTTCAGCTTCCTTTGACAGATTGGTCTCTTCATCTAGGAAGCAAATCACTTTATTCTTGTTCCTGAAATCCTGTCTGAGATAGACCTATTTGCAATCGAAACCTCACTGTTTGAACCTCTATTCGCTGTCAACCATTTCTTCCCTTTTTTTGTAATCTTTTTTCCTTTCCTATTTACTCTACCTATTAACTTTTCCTCAATCTTTTCATATAGCCACCGCTTCTTTACCCTACGTTGAACAGACTTTCCCCTCTTTACCTCTTCATTCTCTTTCGTTTCTGCCACAAACGAGATTTCAGAATCTTTTTTATCCTATCGGAATGATAAACTTATGACCTTTGGTCTACTGCACCTTGAAATGATAAATGTCAGAATGTTTCCTCTAAACTTTCTGAAAAGGAGAGAGTTGCCAAGTTTCGTGAAATGTAAAAGGATGCTGAGTTGCATGAAGAGCAAAGATTGAAGGCTTGAAGCGGTTGAAAAAGGCTAAGAAGAATGATGCTCAGGAAGCTACCCTGTCCAGCACATCTGCTGGCAGAAACATGTTTTTAATTCGTGAACATGTTTGTTTCTATTTGTTTATGATCGTATACGAAGCTTAACAAATGATCTTTAATAATATTTTTATATTTGTTTATTAAATATATCACACACAATCAAAACTTTGATCGGTTTGTTTATATTTATAAATAAATTTATTTAAAATTCGTTAATATATTATTTGTTTATTGTTTGTTTATAATAATAATAATAAATTTTTATTTTTATTTTTTATCATGATCATATTTTAATGTTCGATTAAGGTTTATTTAAATTTGTTTGATAAAGTATTCAATGAACAAGTTCATTAAAAAACTTAATAAAAACTCATTTAATCTTTTTCAAGTTAATACTTTTGAGCTTTAATATCTTTTAATTAAGTTCAAAACACAACTTAATATTGCAGCCTTAATAAGTATATATTACATATACTAAAATCATCCATAATTTTTATAAAAATTATTATTGTAAATTAAATTTTGATGGACCCAAAAATGATCACTAGTGATAAAAATGAGACTTAAAAGTAAATCCATCAGCATCCTACATCAAAAGAACAAGTAAAAAGTAAAGAGCTATGGCTTCTATGAAAGGAAGTCCTCTCCATCCCACATCCAAAAAACAAGAGTAAAGAGCCATGGTTTCTATAAATGAAAGTCCTCCCGGCAACCTTTTCCCCACAAGCCAAAAGTCAATCACGTGCTGGACCCACATAAAGTGAGCTAGACATTGGCTTTTTGTTGGGTTAAAGTCGATTAATATTTTTTTAGCTTAAGTTTAGGCTCGTTTTAGACTTTGAGCACGTCTTGATACTTGGCTAAATTAAATCAGCTGAGCTCGAACAAAGGATATTTAGTTCATGCGAAACTTGTTTGATTTTGGACTGAACTTAAAGATTCAGTTCAGGTCGTTTATAGTAATATTTATTTGATTTGATTTTTTTTATTATTTATAAATATGTTTATTTATATATATATTAATAAATATGTTCATTTAATATTCGTGAACGAATTAATTTAATTTAATTAAATTGAATATAAATTAAATATAAATATTTTATTATTTAAATAAATTAAATTCGAACGAATAAATTAATTTTTTTACTAATATAAATCGAATTTAAATATCTCTAAAAATAAATAAATAAATTATTTACATATTATTAGTTCATATTTTATCCATTTACAACAATAAGAGAGCCAAAGCACTTGAGAAGAGCATGTGAAGTTGGAGGACCATCGTAGTCTCCATGAGGACTTCACTAGAAAATCTCTTCAATTTTCATTAGGTAACCTTTCTTTTTCCTTATTTTTTTGGTTTTAGATCTAAATTCCTTCTTTTCTCTTAATTTGAAATTGTATAGCTTTTCTTTATACTTAAAAAAAATCTCAGATGATAAAGCTGATGAAATGAAGTTGGATTTTTTCTTCTTAGATGAGAATAGAGATTATTTATGCTCACGAGGAAGAAGATGCCGATATGGACTATAATGCTGACATAGAATTCAATTAAATTAAAATATCTTTATTTGGAAATAAAGTTTAAATGTACCTTATTTTAAGAATTAAGATTTTCAATTACCTTTCATAACAAAAGTAATTGTTTTATTTATAGATTAAAGATAATTAATAAATTATAACAGATATGTGCATGTTTTTTAGTTGTATAAAGGAGGTTTTAGAATTCAATGGTTAACCCATTTTAGAAATCTTCTTTAATTTTCTCTTATTATTTCTTGTTCGCTATGAATTCTCTCCATGGAAAGCAAAAGCTTTAAATTTCAATTTAAAATAGCAAAAAAGGCTTTGCATCTAGCAATTATTTTTTCTACAATGATCTAAAATTAGTTCAATGTATAGGCAATAATAATCATTATTATTTTTAATAATATAAAATAATTAAACATATAATATCAAGAACAACACATATGATAAAATGATTAATATATATAATAATCATTATTATTTTTAATAATATAAAATAATTAACATATAATATCAAGAACAACACATATGATAAAATGATTAATATATATATATATAATAAATGAACACTGACTCCTTCCAAATTGAAAAAAAAAAAATGCAATCTTTCCCAAACTATTTCCGAATTTCATTTGCTGTATAACTTGATAGTAAAATTTTAAAAACCATTTTCAATTTAGAAAAAATAAAAAAAGAAAATCAATAATACTAATGAAATTCCAATTAAACTATATGAATTTATATTTTTAAATTTCACAAACAAAAATAAAAAGTTGTCATGTGTGTGTGTGTGTGTTTTTTTTTTAGGTATTTGAAGTTGTCAAAATTTAACCCGAAACTAAAAATCCTGCACACTATCTATTTTTGTATTAATACATTAGTTTTTTATATTTTTAAATATATCCTAAATGCCTCAAACTCCCTCTTTCTAGCGTATGAGATAAGTGATAAAAGTAAACTACTTAGCACTCACAACAGGTTAGCTTTCCCACATATCCAGGACTCATTCCAAACTGAAACTAATCTGATTTTTCTCAAACTATATGATTTTTAAGGATAAGAAGTTCATTTTTTTTTCCCATAAGATTTTATCTTCTATATTATCTTATATATATCAGCTTTTATCTTTTAATGTTTTACTAATCTGATAATATAACAGAAACTTCAATTTTCAACAGAGTTTACAAGCCACACCATGGCTACCACTACCAGCAACAATGGCGGTGACTTCTGTCGTTTCTTGCTTCAAGTCATCACTGGAAGATGGTTCATGATGTTTGCATCTTTTTTAATCATGGCAGGTGCCGGTGCAACATATCTGTTTGGTGTTTATTCCAAAGATATTAAAGCAGCCTTAGGCTATGATCAGTCCACACTCAACCTTATGAGCACATTCAAGGACCTTGGAGCCAATGTTGGAGTCCTCTCCGGCCTCCTGGCTGAGGTAGCACCGACATGGTTTGTTTTGCTAGTTGGTTCAGTCATGAATTTCACAGGGTATTTCATGATATGGTTAGCTGTGACCAAAAGAATTGCTAACCCAAAGGTATGGCAAATGTGTGCATATATTTGTATTGGTGCAAATTCACAAAACTTTGCCAATACTGGTTCACTTGTTACTTGTGTGAAAAACTTCCCAGAAAGTAGAGGGATGATGTTAGGGCTTATGAAAGGTTTTGTAGGGCTGAGTGGTGCAATTTTTACACAGCTTTATCATGCTATCTATGGCAATGATTCAAAGTCTTTGATTCTGCTTATTGGTTGGTTACCGGCTGCGATTTCTTTGATTTTTGTTTACAACATTAGGGTAATGAAGATTTCTACACATCCAAATGAACTTAAAGTGTTTTACGAATATCTGGCAATTTCAATTGCTCTAGCTTTGTTGATCATGGTACTAACTGTTGTTCAGAAAAAGGTTACGTTTTCTCATGCTGCTTATGTAATATGCGCAGTTGCAGTCTGTTTGATGTTGTTTTTACCCTTTGTCATCGCTGTAAGAGAAGAATTTTACACTTGGAAGAATAAAAAACAAGTTACTGCCCCTATTAGTACCATTGTGGAGGCGCCACCTCCCGAGACGGTGTCAAAATCTGAGATAGAACCTGAATGTACAGAGACCAAGATAGAGAAGAAGAGTCAGGAAGCCTCAGTCTGCACAAATGTTTTCAAGCCACCTAAAAGAGGTGAAGATTACTCCATTTTCCAAGCTCTTCTTAGTATAGACATGATTCTCCTTTTTGTTGGTACATTCTGTGGATTGGGTTGCAGCTTAACAGCAGTTGACAATCTAGGCCAAATTGGTGAATCCTTAGGTTATCCACATCATACCATCTCTACATTCGTTTCGCTTCTTAGCATATGGAATTTTTTTGGTAGAGTTTTCGCCGGATTTGTCTCTGAAATCATTCTTTTGAAGTTCAAAATACCTAGGCCTGTAATAATGGCACTTGCCCTTTTCGTAGCCGCAATTGGAGATATACTTGTTGCCTTCCCTTGGCCTGGTTCTGTTTATCTTGCTTCTTTGTTGTTAGGATTCGCATTTGGTGCACAACTAACATTGCTCTTCATCATTGTGTCTGAGCTTTTTGGATTGAAATATTACTCAACTCTTTTCAACTGTGCTCAATTAGCCAGCCCTCTTGGGTCATTTGCACTTAATGTGAGAATTGTTGGGAAACTTTATGATAAAGAAGCATTGAAGCAGCTGGCTGCAAAGGGGATGACAAGATCAATGGTGAAGGAATTGACTTGCATTGGAAAACAATGCTACAGACTATCTTTCTCAATTCTTGCCGCTGCTAACATCTTTGGATTTCTTGTCATACTGATTTTGGTTCTCAGAACTCGTAAATACTATGCAGGAGATATCTACAAGAGATTCAGGGATGAAATGGAAGCAAATGAAAAGGATATGGCTTTGAAATCAGCACAGGGGAATCCAAGTGGTGAAAGACAAGGGCAGTAACAGAATAGATCAGTTCACTGTACTTTGTTTCATTTATGCATTTTTCTGTCATTTCTGGAAATATTTTTTTTCCTTTATTTGTTAAGTTTTAAATTTGTTGCTTGTGCAACAATGAACTTTCTGCCAAAGCTTGTTTAGATATTGTAATGGCACTGCCCCAAAGGGGCACTTTGTTCTTGCTGATTATAATAGATCAGTGATTAAGGTTATAAAATAGTGAAATTATATATCTAAAAATCATCAAACATTTGAAAATTTTGAATTTTTTTTATACAAATGAGGCAGAGGCTGGGGGGAAGGGTATGCAGGTGCCATTGAAAAAATTTAAACTTTTACTTATCAAGAAAGGATAAATTAAAGCCTTGGGCATTTGCGAGTTCCATTAGTCCTTCATCCTCCTTTTGTTTTGCATACAATTTTCCATCAGCAACTTGTTGATGAGCGTAAAGTGCAGCATCTGCAATTGCCTTTTCTTCTGCAGCCAGTTTTTCCTTCTCATACAGACTTGCCTCTGCATTCTTTTGTTTCTTGTACAGCTCCCAGTTTGCTTCTTGCACCTTCATTTAGAAATAAACAAAGGATATTTCGAAATTCACATCCTATATTTTCCAGTACTCAAATTAAATCCCTATATATACATAGGGTGGCTGTTGGCTTACAAATGTAACTGAGACACCCCATGGATTGTTAAGAACTAAGAACACATTGAAAATCGTATGGAATACCTCACTTGGAGGAGGAGAGAAGCCTTTCAATGGAAATGGCATTTATCTCACGAAACAACAGCAAAAGTAATACTGTTTCATGGACTCTGAAAGTTTTTTCCAAAGATCCAAGCAGACGGCACCTATCCAATTTTTTCGTTAGAAGTTACTCAAAATGAAGCAATATATTTCTTCCTCTTGATGCTATTGACATTTCAGAGTATGATTTATTGACTTAATTCACATGGGAAAATGCCATGAATCATTTCAGAGTTACTTATAGTTTTATCTAGTTTTTCAGAAGGCATTTCTAGTTGATGCCTCAAATTCAAAAGGCCTAAAAGTAAAGCAAATGATCTACAAAAGTCTCCATGCATATTCAAGCTGGGGATACAACCTCAAAATTACATTGACATCAAAGAAGTTCAAAATGGTTTCAAGCGCATCGATCCATCATACCATTGCATTACCAGAATGCACAACAATCAATCCCATGGGCAGAATGCAATTTGACTAATGGTGTGGATTCATCTATAAATTTGGAAAAAATAACAAGGTAATGCAACAAACACAATTCTAACTCAACCGACAGAAAAATAGAACATCAATTTGATTAATGAGCAAATCATCAATTTCATATCTTCCCAATATACAGAATACACAGAACAGAACTAAATATTATACAATCATCCGAAATCCCAATGCATGTTAGCGGATGTTTACACTTTGAACTGTATAATTAATCATGCATTAATATGACCAACATCGATTCAAAGCTGTGTTTCATAAATGAACAATTCTAATCAAACCAAACAAAATAAACTAGTAGAATATCAAAATTCACGATTGTTTCATATTCCACACTAATTTTAGTAAGAAACTCATGTTAGAATTTTTCAATAAGTGGATTACTATTAATTAGTAATTTTATAATTTAATAAATCGGCTATTAATTTTAATCATAATACGAGACAAGTATGAAAGCCTAAATAATTAATTGTAATCACTTACGTGTGAATTTTACACATCTTATTGGGTCAATATGGTTTGACGATTATGTAGTCCTTTGACCCATTAAACTTTTGATGAAAAGATTTCTATGGGTTTTAATAAAATTTGGCTAAGTTCTCCTCTTCACTTATAATTAGCGGTGTCTATGCATTAAGAGCCACCTGTAACAAAAGAGTGAAGAGGAATACCCAGTCTCTTCAAGAATTGGTGTTGCTTCTGCTTATCATCTATGATTGCCCAAATATATACAAAATATAGTTAAATTTGGTGTTTTAATATTTGCATATGGTTTTTGAATTTAAAATTATGTTTACATGTAGTATTAGAGTCTAGCACGTGATATTACGACCTAAAATATTATTTTTAAATTTATTTTGAATTAAAAACCTTGTTTTTGGGTCAAATTTGTGATTATGGAATTCCATGTTCTAATCATTGTTTTTGAAAATTATGTTAATGTTTTTGTTCCTTTTTGCATAAGGATTGAAATTATATCAATAATTTTTTGTAACTCATTTGGGAGAGAGCGAAATCAAGATTCAAAGTTTAGGTTCAAAATTTGAACAAAATTCAAAATTTAATTAAAACCTTAATATTTTATGTGTCTTAGTCCAAATTGGTTGTTAAATATTGTTATCCATGTGTTTTAAGATTGAAACATGCATTTTAAATGCATGAAATTTGAGTTTTAATTGATCAATTGGAAAGAAACCATAAACGGATTGTGTATTTCAAAAATTTTTACTTAAATTGATGTTGATTCATGTTATTTTAATGCAATTTGAAGCATCAATTTTGTAAATATATGTTTTGATTAAAGTTTAGAGCATTTAATTGCATTAATGAAAAAAGGAAAAGATGAAAAACTAATGAAAAAATCAAGTAGTAAAAATAGGTCAATAGTAGATATCAACTTAAAATTTTATTTTTAAAATTCATGGCAATTTGTGTGTTTTTTATGCATATTATGGCATGAATTTTGTAAATCTATTTGTTAATCATGTTTAAAGTTTAATTGCAAAAAAAAAAAAATCAAATTGGTTTAAAAAATCGAAATGTATACAAATCAAATGAAATTTGACCCATTTAGGTAGACTCAAACTGGTTAAATAAAGAAGATAAATACTGCTGAGTCATGAATAGTATTGACTCGGTAAATAGTACTGAGTTAACACAATACTGAGTTTATAAATAGTGCCAAAATCAATAAATTGACTAGTTTGAACCTATTTGGAGTCCCTTTTTTATGCCATTTGTTTGTTCTGTTAGTTCTGAAATTTTGTGCTACATGTATTTATTATTTTTTTGGATTTTTAAATGGTATAAAATATTTATTATATAATATTTATGTATAATTAAATAATTATTATATTTTATGTACATGAATTCTTTTTTATTTTATAATAAAATATTTTGGCATATTTAGAATCTATTGAAAGTATATACTCTCTTTTTATGCTATTTAAGATTTACGTACTCTCAGCCTAAATTTTATGTGCATAATTATATAAATGTAATAAAATTTGTTTTTACTAATTTTTGATTATTCATTTAAAATGCAACATGCACTATTTTGAAAGACAAGTTAGGTTTTAACTCCATGAGGTTTTGGTATAGTTAATATTAATTTGGTAATTTATTTTATAATTTAATATAATTATTAAATAATAGTAAATTATTATTTACATGAAATAATTGAAGTTTAAAATTGTCGTCTTAATTTATTTTTTCCCGTGACTATGTTGACATTATGTATTATTATTGATTCATGAAAATTTTATTTTTAGTACATGATACATAAGAATAAAGTATTAAATAGAAATATTAAATTATTCATAAAATTCAAAACAATTAATTTAAATACAATAAATTACTTATTGATCTAGTGAGACACATTCGGTTTAAGTATCTCACAAAAAAATATCATAACTAAAATGATTCATCGAAATATGCATTAATTATTATTGTCTCACACAAGATCAATCAATTTTTAATGACCTAAAGAGATACATCATAGTCAAGTATCTTGCAAGAAAATGTTAAAATGCATACACTCAGTTAAGTCTGCAAACTAAAATTATAAGCAATTTAAATTTTTCAATATGAGAAATATAATTGGTTAATGTTGGTGTTTGACTGTCAAAGAGCTCACTCATTCAGACTTACAAGATTTTCTTATGTGCAGAAATGGGTATATTTTTAAATTACTTTATACAATTATCTGCCCAAAGGGAGTTATTGTATTTGATAATTTGGAGTAAACATGAAGCATTATGGTTGATGGTATACTGCTCTAGAAGGTTTGTTTGTCCAAAGGGGACAAGCTTTTACAATCTTTTGCTTTTATAAGATACTTATTAAATCAAGTATACTCTTATAAGATATTAATTGTTTCTAATTATGATACTTTGAAAAAGCAATAAATAAAATTTTATTTCTTAATAAGTATTTAGAGCATGCTTTTGTTATCATAAAACTCAACAAATATTATCATAAAGATCCTAGGTAATAAAAAAATGAGTTATGAAAGTAAGTTTCAGTCTATAAAAGTAAGCAAAAATTAGTTTTGCAAATTTTAAAGTTTTGAATGAAATGTATTGTTATTAAGGCTTTCTAGATTAACTTACCTTAATGTTTATATCACAACTTATACTTGGTAATATTGAAAATATAATATTCCTCACATGAACATTAACATATACATGAGATTGATTTATACTATAAATATTATGTGTATACAATTACCTACAAAAATTATATATTATTGACATTCATTATATCTTATTATGTTGAGATTTATGGTATGAAATTTATGTAATTTGTTGAATTTCATATAAATATTAAGTGCCTATTTTGGTAGATATTCTTTTGGCTAGTCAATTTTTAATTTTAAAATTTCTTGTAGTCGTGCGTGAAAGATTGAAATGTCATAATAAAATATTATTAATTGTTAAAACAATTTACTTAATAATGTGGCACGCTAAGTGTTTATATTGATTGAAAGCATTATGGAACATGACTTGAAAACTTTTAAGGTGAATAAAATGATAATGGGTATTATAAGTTTTAATTTTAATGATCCATAAAGGTACATTTAAATTAGTATCTTGTTTAGAGTGATCACATGTGTAAATAGACATAAAAAAATCAACATAATTATAATGATTATGAAATTTCTTATGTTGTTATAGGATTGTCTTTAAGTTACTACATGTGATTACTTACCTAAAGAGGGTGATTATATGTTTTTAATTTAAAAATAATTATTAAACATTTTTGTAAAGTGAAAAAATACATAGACCTAGAGAATTTATTTGCTCGAATGGGATAGATTTTCAAAAGTGTTTGTATTTTTTCATTGATGTATGATTTCACAAAGTTCTGATATTTTCTTTAAAAGAATGTCTAAGATTAAGATTATTATAAAGTACCTTGGCTATTATTGATAAAACTAGTAAATATGTTGAACTGATTAAAGTCTTATCTATTTGGATCATGATTGGCCTTCAATATTATTGGATAATTGTCATCATAAGTTAATGTTTGCCATTATCGATAAGTTCTTG